AAAAAAAAAAAAGCTGTTAGCAGTAATTCCAAAAAGAGGAGGAGATGGATAAAGAGAGATCAACTATCATTTAACTTCTAAACTGGATACAAGGTCTCTGAATTCCAAATCAAGAACCCATGAATTCCATATCATTCCTCTGAGAGGCAGCTAATGTGAAAAGCCGGTATTAGATTGAGGCTGCCATTTGTGGCAGAGGGGCCTTTTGGCGAACTTTTACTAGCAGTGAAATTACGGAAGGGGCGCTTCACAGGAGGTAACACTAAACCTGATTGTTTGTCCATTGACAGAAGCTTGCTGCACTTGCTGCATGGTTTCAATCTTCAGCTATGAAGTTTGAGAGAGAAACAGGCAATACCAGGAAACAAACATAACCCAAAAGACAAAGAAAAAGAAAAGAGCAAAAACAGTAACAAGGAAGAATCACCTGCATGCTTCCATGAACAATGTTTGGTAAGTGCAAACCCAGTGCTGCAGCAAAACACGCATTATGAAACCGTAAGAAAAAGATTATTCTTCGAAACTAACAATCAAGGGATTTCGAGTATTACCAGCAGCGAATGCAATGCTCTTTCTGGAGTCGCAAAAACAAAGTACTGCAGAGCCATAGAAGCATGCTCCTGCAGTGGTCCATTTATGAAAACAGAAAATTTAGTATTTAACGAGTACACAGAAGAGCAACTGGATGTTCTGAGAGAGAGAGAGAGTCACGATAAGCACCCTTACCGATATATGCTTATATACGTGGTGAGATGAAAAACCCCGTGCATGTAGATAGCTGCCACCCTTCACAAGAAATTCAATACTGAAACTTCAGATGTAGGTTTGAAACTTGATATTGGACACAACAGTTCAGAAACTTCACATGGATAAAACACAACTGACATGCTTTATACTCCTTCATCAACAGACATACTTAACACAATAAACAAACATGGGCTATACCAAGAAAACATTGTATCATTGTCATTCTCGTATGTTACAAAAAAGAAAAATAAATAAATTAACTCTACAGCTATCTTTGTAACCCCTTTTGTGTACCAATAAAATTAGAAAGTTCGAGACAACATTTTTGAACAAGTAAACTCCGATCAGTTTCTCAACATGCGTAAGTGAAAGAAGAACCTTCATAATATAAAGACCAGAAAACATGCTGAATGACACGTCAATGTCTGTCGCTAACTAGAGAAGATGCTATCAAGGACAAAAGAGCAATAAGATACAGAGCAAACTTAATTAGCTACTTCGTAATCACCTCATCAGGCGAAAAGAAAGCTACTGCATCGGGAACCATGGAGCCCGCCGTGTGTAGCGATATAATCGCCCTAAAGACACAAGGCAGAAGCAACTCGATCACGGCAGACTTATCTCCACCATGAGAGCTCACTGAACTCTGTCCCCACTTGCTTGTGCTTGAAAAGGTACTCTGACCTTTTGATGGATCTGTGGTGCCCTCATCTGCACCCGAAGCCAAAGATGATGCGCGTTCAAGCCAATCCATACGCTGGTAAGTAAATGTTTTCAGATTGAAAACCTCTTTCTCGAGGTTTGATAAAATGTCGCTCAGCGTTTTTGGCTCACTCATCTCTTCATGAGATATCGGCAGAGGTGTGCAGTGTTTCTTTGCAGCTGGTCCTAGTACAGAATCATCCGAAAGGTGTGGGAAAAACCGCCTTTTCTGGTCCGTAAATGCCTTGAGTGCCAGTCTGCAGAGGTTGAAAGAACAGTAAATCTCCACTTTATGAGAGTTTAAATTGCTATGTGAAAAGACAAGAGAGAGAGAGAGAGAGAGAGAGAGAGAGAGAGAGAGAGAGAGAGTCTACGAATTTAATTGATATGGAGAGACAGAACCAGAATGAAACACGTCTTGAAAAGATAAGTATCAATGTCTGGGTTAAGGTTTAGAAAGCGAGGAACATCAAACAGCTCCTTGTAACAAACGCAGCACCTGGCTTAGGGCAAAGTTCTGGAGAAATCTTGGGAAAATATTTCGTTTAACGGATGAGAGTATTCTTCATTTCATGTTCGGTGTTACAATTACTTCAAGAAGGTACTTTCACTTGGGACTTGCTCTGGAGTTTTGTATTAGTATAACTGTATAAGAACATAAAAGGATATATAACCTTCACCAACAAATATAACCAATCCTTTGGTTCACAAGTTAGTTAGTCCTCTGATTGCGATATACTCTCTGCAGCCAAAACCAGAACCCCCTTCAGAAGACAGTCTAATATTCTTACTTCTACTTGGTTCTTCTATTACAAGCACTAGAGCTGGCAGGGACTAACATAAGCCTGCTTAAGAGCCAATTATGTATTGTTTTCTCATCTGTCATCAACACATGCTAACTTTTTCCAAGGGAACTTGCTGAACCCTTTGTCATATTGTGCTACTCTTCAAACTTAATAAAGCCACACCAAGAACACAGATAGAATTGAGAAAGTTCTATTGGTACTCACAAGTAACCAAGACTTAGTAATGCTGTTGAGGTGAGTAATACAAAATCATTCGGAGATGCTAACTGCGAATTCAATGGGGTCAGGCATGTCACAAACTATGCAGCACAAACCATATGTACTACTACTGACACACCCAAATAAAGATTTGTTCCAGATAACCAATGGTAAGAAAATATTTATTGAAGGTCAACTTTAGATCCCATTACCAAATTACTAAGCTAGCCTGAATTCTGATGCTATGTTGGTGAATTAGATCTGCAGTTGCAGATACTATCTTCATTGTTTCGGATGCAAGCTTTACCTATATGTATTATCAATCAATCATCTACAGAACTCATCCATATAGTGAGTTTGCATGTCGTTTGGGGATGACAAAGATAGTTCTAATCTTCTAAAGGTGGAGTTCAGACATAGATTAGAGAACTACTATATAATATATCACCTGGTCCTATCAACTGCAGATGCACCAGCCTGGCCAGCAAGTTGGCGCTTCCACGCGTACGCAACCACAGCTCCATCTGGACAAACGAGAGGCATGTGTAGGCCCCACGAATTACTCCGTGAGCGGAGGGAATCATTTAGAACGCCGGACTCCTCTAGCTGTCTTCCTAACAATATGATTGGCATGTTAAAACCATGTCACCATATCCTTCATGTAAAATAAACTCACATAAAATATAGAAGTACTAACTCGACATAGAAAGTACAGAGATGACAAATTGCAAGTAGAAAAATCGTTAATGAAACCAATCTACAGTACAATTCCCTGACTAAATTGAATATGGCTCTCTTTCTCCAACTCTCTCTAAGGGAACCAACAGTAGAACCAGGGATAATACAAGGTCCGGTTGCTAGATCAGACTTAAAGAAAGAGCAAATAAAATACAAATTCACTAATTATTTCATATAATTGTAAGAGAGATGAGCTCGTGGAGATAAACGGATTTCTATAGATCAATTCGACGAGCCAGAAAGGCAGAGGAATTAGGGTATGAGTAAACTCACCTATGGCGCGGAGGCTCTGGAGATGGTGGCGCATTAAGGACTCTTCTTTAAGAAATAAATTCAAACACTTGGCCGAGTGCTGGTGGTGAGGTTTATCCCCCACGAAGAACAAGGCTTCCAGCAGCCGATCCGCGCCAAGCCGCACGTCAGCGATCAGCCTCCCCGCCTGCCCCAGCTGCTCCAACGCCTGCGCTACCTGCTTCGGCGGCGCATCCCTCGCCGCCGCCGGCTGACTTGCCGGTTGTTGTGCAGCTGCTTGCTGCATTTTTCTCCCTCTTTTCCTTTTCTTTAACCTAATAATAGTAGGTTCGAGATTCGTATTAAAGGTTCGGTTGGTTTTTAGTATTCATCTTGTGCACAAAAAAAAAAAAATATTATATATTATATGTATGCATACAATATATAAAATTTTATATTAAATAATGGATCTATTATATTTTAAATTTTGACTATATGGAAATGTGTAATGTAAATATAAATTATTTAACTTACATATGAATATTTATATTGATGCCATAAATTTTAATGGGCAATATAATTTAGTAATCTAGATGGACCATACATTTAATTAGTTAGAAAAGTATTACAAATATTTTTATCATTGTTATAGCAGTTGTCTAAATGACTTTAAGGTGCTTAACTATGACACTCATGCCAGTTAATTAATATTAGATAAAAGACAATAATTATTTTGTTTTAGAAAAAAATATTTTAAAGAAAAAAATTGCAATACAATTTCTTATAAGTATGTAACTTCCACATCTATTTAATGTAAAATTATCGTCATTTAGTGTTAGTTATAATATTATATAATAAATTAGTTTAGAATTGTTATTACACTTTATTAATGTAAAATGTAACGTTTTTACATTAATTGAAAAAATGAGCGGGAAAATTATGAAGGTTTTATTAAATGTTTTATTTAATGCATCTGCCAACAATTATATATATATAGATTATGTGTTTTGGGGTTTTTTTCACTACAAGGCCCGAAAGATAGGTAAACTATCAATTCGGGGCCTGAAAGATTTTTTTTCAATTCGGGATCTGAATGTTTATAAAACTATCAAATTAAGTCCTACAATTATAACATTCAGGTCCCGAATTGTAGGACTTAATTTGATAGTTTTATAACATTCAGGTCCCGAATTGAGAAAAAAAATCTTTCAGGCCCCGAATTGATAATTTACCTATTTTTCGGGCCTTGTATTGAAAAAACCCCTCGTGTTAAAGGAGATAAAAATCTCTCTACGTTTTTTAGATAATACTAATGCTAGTCCGTACCATTAACAGGTAAATAATATTAATTATTAAATAATAATAATAAAAATTAAAAATAAAGGTAAATAATATTAACTAGTAATTATAAATTGAAAATGTAGAGTTAAAATATAATATAATTTATAGAGTTAGTATCATATGAGAGTGACTTATAGTGATAGAAATAAGAATAAATCTATATCATTAGATCCACTACATCAATGGTCATAATGAAGTCAAAGTTGATTAAAAACAGTCAAACACGCAATGGCAAATAGATAAATAATTGAACATCCTTTGGTCAAAAATAGTCATCTCACGACAAATATGTAATTTACTACACATTCCAATATGTGGGCCCCACCAATCACCACATAATCCCGTATCCCACACAGTGTCTCACCCAAACAAATCACTCTCCCTGTGAGGAATTTAGTTCAAATAGTCTTTCCAACTTAACAAATTGTCTAAATAACCTTTGACCCAAAAATAAGAATAGAAATTAATGAAAAATAACATTAAACAAGAAATTACATATTTGCCCTCTGCTCTATTCCTTCAACTCCACTTTATTTTTTCTTTCTTCATTCCCGCGTAACTCTTCTCTCTCGGCAGTTTTTTCTCACTCTCTCTCGTCTCTCTCGGCTCTCTCTCAGCTCTGTCTCATGGAACTCTCTATTGTCAATGTTGGTAAGAAATTTTTTTGGGTTAATTTTTTTATTTTTTTCAGTTTTTATTAAATTGTTTTGAAGAATAATTTTTTGATATTGTTGTTATTTTGTAGTGTATTGTGTTTAAAGAGATGAAAGTGGGATTAATTGTTTAATATGTGTTATGCATGAAAGTGAGATTAATTGTTGAAATGCTTGTAGGATTGGATTGGTGAATTGGTGCACTTTATGTGTTTGATGAAATGCTTGTAAGGTGAACTCTATGTATTTGATGAAATGGTTGTAGGATTTAGTTGATGCATTGAAAATAATGAGACTTATATGTTTGTAATGTAATATATAACAAATGTACATTCGTTATAGGAATATTGGCCTTAACCTATTGGATTAAGTTTGAGAAATATTGACCTAAGATAAGAAAAGAAAAAGAATGTGTTTTTTCCTTGACTCTATGTTGTGTTGTAGGTTATTCTTCTAAGTTTCAATTTGTAAGAGAGGTGCATGTTGAGTAGTATTTGACCTTGTTAGAATTAAATATTTTAAGGATGTTACATGTATGAGTTTTGATAAGCCAATATTTAGTCAAGCTTCATGCTTTAAGGTTATTAAGTTCAAAGAATAAAAGAAGGTCGATATAGAATAAAGAATCGTTTTATTAGTATCCTTTAGAAATTGGTTAACTTATAACTTTAACGAGTAAAATATCGTCATAATGTATTATCTTGTGAATGTATAGGTTTATTTAATTGACCGAATGAAAATATAACTATAATGAAGATTCATTTGTTGTGGTGAATGAAATAACGAATGTACATTCTTATGTATTAAATTAAAACCAACTACTTACACGAATGTTGTGCTTGTTAATTTCAAAATATAAAGTGTGTTGTACTTCTTAATTTATTAATAATGTGCATGTGATTGTTGTAATTTATGATTGATGTTTTACTTCTTATTATTGTGATTGAATTTTGTACCGTTTTATGATATGTTGTCTTTCTTCTATGCTTTTAGGAATCTAAAGGGAGTATGCTTTCGATATAACTCCTACATGCTCCAGAGTCGTGACCAATAAGTGCGACCTCAAGGTTGTCGAGCATGTATTTAAGAATCTAGATGATAAAAATCAAGATTTATTTGTGGAATCTTGCTTCCAGCAACTGGTGCACATTCCGGAGTTGAAATTGTCGTCTCAAATAATCCACCACCTTGTTCAGAGGACCTTGAAATCAACCGACAATGAAAAAGATGTCGTGTGGTTCAAATTTAGAGAAAAGAAAGCCAGATTCGGGTTACAAGAATTCTCTCTTGTAAGCGGTTTAAAGATTGTGGATGATGTGTCTTACGAGGTCCCCAAAAGAAGTAGTTCACTTTTAGATTTATTCAAAGAGAAGAAAGGGAAGATAATGAAGAAAGACTTGGCCGAGCAATTTGATGGTTTGGTACAGAAGGAAGATGCAAATTTGAAGTACAAATTGTGGCTTCTCATCGTCCTCGAGTATGCGGTGTTGTCTAACGAGTGTCGGACTCTTGTGGATGAAAGATGGTTTCATCTCGTTGAAGATTTGGAACAATTTAATAGCTATCCTTGGGGGAACTTGTCGTATGAGTACACCGTAAAGTTGTTCAAACGGAAGACTTCCGGTATTAAAAAAAATATAAATGCGATAAAGTATTCTCTGCATGAATTTCCCCTCGCTATCATGGTATTTGTCTTAATTTTGTTTTTATTTATATTTATGCTCTTTTATATTTATTTATGTTAGTTGTATTCTTAATTTTTTTTTTTTGTTGTTTGCTAAGTAGGTTTGGGCATTTGAGGCACTGCCTAAGCTTGGAAGAAAATTTGCTCAAACTTATGGTAGTGGCAGACTTCCGAGAATAATGTCTTGGAAAATGAGTAAACAGTGGCGAAGCGAGCAAATTAGTATGTTTTTCAACACGTCGGAGGTAATTTTGGTTATAGATAATCTATCTTATTTATTCTTATAGTTTTGAAAAAACTAATTATACTACAATCAGGTTGAAGTTCGACGAACGTTACAACCCTCAAGTGATGAAGTTGAAACTTCATACTTGAAGGAATTCGATATAACAGAGGAAGAGACAATTGTCCCTAAAGATGAGGAAGAAGAAGATTATTCTTATAGTTTTGAAAAAACTAATTATACTAGTTTTGAAGAAGAAGAAGAAGAAGAAGAAGAAGAAGAAGAAGAAGAAGATGAAGAAGAAGAAGAAGAAGAAAAAGAAAATGCGTCTCAACATGATCTACCACAACCTCACTTTTTGGATGAAGAAAAGATCGCAACTATAGTGAGGAGAGTGGTGAAGGACGAGGTGAGAAAAGTTGTGAAGGAGGAGATGAACAATTTATTTGAGAGAATGAAGAATGAATTTTTTGAAGCAAAAGATAAACCATCTAGCCGTGGTACTCATGATGATCCAGATGTTGAGGTGGAGAAAAATGTGCAGGATAAGGAGACCGTTGAATGTGGTAAAATTATTACTCGATTATTATACATCAATGCATCATATTAATGTTCTTACTCGGTTATTAAAAAAAAAGAACAAATGCAACATGTTATTGACTTACTTTTTTTTCTCTTTCGCAGATACGATGAAATCACCATCTCCGATGCCCGAGCATGAAATGGCTGGACTTCATGATGATGCGGGTATGTAAAATATAATTTTAACTACTACGTAATTTGATAGTGCATTGTTGTAAATAAATGAGAAGAAGAAGAAGAAGAAGAAGAAGAAGAAGAAGAAGAAGAAGAAGAAGAAGGAGAAGAAGAAGGAGAAGAAGAAGAAGAAGAAGAAGAAGAAGAAGAAGAAGAAGAAGAAGAAGAAGAAGAAGAAGAAGAAGAAGAAGAAGAAGAAGAAG